AAGGCATAAAGTAACCACTTATGGGACTCAGCCTCATTTCAGCTTTTTATGAGTAGATTTGAGATATTTCATGTAGTAAATCTCACTCTTCCTGGAAATTTTTTTCTGATGATTTAGAAGGCAGTGACCTTTGAGGATGTGGCTGTGAATTTCACCATGGAGGAGTGGGCTTTGTTGGATCCATCCCAGAAGCAGCTCTACAGAGATGTGATGTGGGAAACCTTTAGGAATGTGACTGCCATAGGTAAGGAAGATATTATTTCTCATTTATGCAATCAGAGAGCATTTATTATTGCTCATCAGTGCAGTTTACTTTATTAGAATATGAAAATATTTTAATATTTTAATGACTCTTCTGGACATGGTCACATTCTACCATGAATCTAACTAGAAACTAGTATTTTATGTAATAGAGTAACTCATCATTACATTTATTTTTCTACACTTTAGGAAGAAACATAGATGACCAGCAAATTGAAGATGAGTATAAAAATTACAGGAAAAATCTAAGGTAATTTAAACTGACAAGAATGTTACTAAAAGGTCAGAAATACTAAAACCAAGTAAAATTGTATACAAAGGCCATGTTCACAAAAATACAGAGAGCCAGGGATGGTGGCATATTCCTGTAATCCCAGCATTTGGACAACTGAGGCAAGAGGATTGCCAGTAGTTTAAGGCCAACCTGTGCTACAGAGTGAGTTCAAGGCTAACCTGAACTACATAAGGAGACTTTGTCTCAAAAGTCAAAAACACAAACAAAATGAAACTGTGTTCAAATTTCTTTAATTGTACAAAATTTCTCCAGAGATGCATACGTGTTTAGTATATAAAATCTGACAATTGAATACTTGAAATATCTTAATATCTGTCATGTAGGCAGTATTGAGATTATGCCACAAGTGACATTATCTACTGTATAATAATAAATTATTTTCCATGCTCAGGATTTTAAAACTGTTTTATGAAATTGTATGTAGGCATTGATTAAAGGTATATATAAAAAAATTTGTGTTTAGTTGAGAGCCAAGTGCAGGACATCT